AATTTTTTAGAAAATCGCAAAAATCGCGGTGATTCTCACGACATGGGTCATGTCATTTGCGTTCAAATATCTGGATATAACAGCAGCTCTGCTCGTCATATGCAACTATTCATAGAACAAAGCTCGGCATGTTTGCTTGTTGACCCTTTATGTTCTTCAGGGCATATTTCGCATATATAAATTGATTTAAGAATTGTTAATCGAAAACAAGAAATCAATATTTGAGTTCATATCTTCAATCGATCTATTCTTATTGACCTTTATCATGGCTGATTGTTGTTTTCGTCGGGAATATCTTGATGAATGTGCTGCAAGTAAGTTGTTATATCTAGAGAATTAAATTCATTACATATTGTTTTGTTGAATTAGTATAAATATAAAATATGTTTGTTGTTTCATTTCTATATATTCTATCGTTGACAATTTATTAATAATACAAGTATAATCATGAATAAGTCATAACTGTACACATAAATTAAAAACAAATACGTAGAAAATAATTTCTATTCGCAATCAAATCTATTAGAGATTCACAGAGTAGAAATCTCGGAGTCTTTCATGAAGAATTTCTCTGTTACTTGAATTTTTTCATGAAATAAATTCAATCTATAACTGTTTGATGTCTGAGAGAATGACGCATATTCATTATGTTTATAGAATAGTGAACCCATGTCCGTTGAATCGGCTAAAAATTGCCAATTAATCCCGATTCATCGAAACGATAATCGTGAGCTGAATCGCGATAGAATCGCCGATTATTCCAGATTATTTCAGCGATTTTTACGATAAATCGTGATTTTATGCAAGATTTAACCGTCTGTTTACTGATATTTTCTACTATTTTATCGGTTCTTTTGAAGACACATATTTGGATTTTTTCTTGAATTTAATTCAATTTTTTTTGGTCTCAAGGTCCAAGCCGATCAGATCGTGCGATCTCGAGCTGGTCCGATTCTTATCAGACCGCTTCAGCGTAGTCCTCTCCAGATCATGGATCGGGATTGGCATTTCCTTGATTAAAAATAACCAAGAAATAATTTATCAAAAAAGTATATTTCGAAAACTTATTTGTTATGCATTGAACGGCGTTGTTTATATATCCGTGTGTGTTCATAACAAAACGGTGAATGAATAATCGTCATGATTTATCAATGATTTTTGAAAATCAGCTCTTCTCCCATAATCGCGATAAAATCTGATATAATCGTCGATCTTTTGAAGAAATACGATAAATCACGATTTTACGCCAATTTTTTAGAAAATCGCGAAAATCGCGGTGATTTTCAGGACATGGGAATATTGATGGAAAAATAAGTAGGTCTAAAGAGATTATGATCTCGATTAACTATACGTTCGTTCAATATATAGAATAATTATGATCACATCCAAGCTGAAAAATACAATGTTGATATAATTCATAACTCGGAATAATATTCATTTCAAGTACATCGACAATAGAATTTAACGTTAAACAATAAAATCGATCTTTGCCTTGAAGTTTTCCTAGAAAATGACAGAAATAGATAAAACAAGATCGATTATGAAATGATACAGTTGCTTTTTTATCATTATACCAACATCAAATGATAAATGGATATATGAATCTTTTCATTTAATAGATTTTCATTTGCATAACGATTGATTAATCATTTTTGAAAATATTCATAATGAAAATGTTGTTCGTTTAGAAGTTGTTAAAATCGAAAAGAAATTAACAAATGAACAACTCAACCATTTACATGAATGTATGTATACATTTATATATCAAGCCGTCTCAATATAATGTTGCTTAAACTAGATTATAGAATAAATCAATACCCAGGTTTGTGGGTACTGAAGAAATAGCTAAACAGTGGAATATTGATGATTTTGATTTTCATATGGATTTGATGGTTCGTTAGATTTTCATTGTATTTTGTTCGTTTCAATATTCTTCATTTTTAGGAATGGTTTTTTTGTCGGCGTATGGCTGAAATCGCACTTGAACATCACCGATCTGAAGCAAAAGGAGCTCCAGCTTAGTTCGGTTAAGCCTCTGATCATTATTCTATTACAAAATAATATTTGGTTTTCTTTTGTGCTAAGTGTCTCTGATAATGTGTTTCGTTTATATAGAACAAAATTAAGATAATCTGATAAAACATTTTATCTCAAATAGAACTTTACAACGACTTTTATTGATCAAAATTGATGAAACTTTGAAGACTTGTATTGATTGATATTAAATATATTTTATATCATAAAGATTTTCTACTAATCCGAGTTTATTTATGTAAGTATGCATAGAATAGGAATAATTTGTGTCTTTATTAAAACAAAACGATGAATATTTTTTATCGGTCAAACTTCATGTTCAATTTCATCATGAATGAAACTATGTTTGATGGAACTTTTAATTTTGACAATCAGAAAAAAAAACTTTATAATTTAATCGATTATTTATTTAATAGTGGTTTCGATGAAATATTTAATCAATGCTATTGAAAAGAATAGATAAAAAATCAGAAGTATGACAAAGATTTATTTTCCAGCTTGCTGTTGATAAAAAAGAACTTGTAATAAGTTAAGAAATAGAAGAAAAGCTTTTGTTTGATCACAAATAAAACTGATTAGTCTCAATTATGTTCGGTGGATATTTATTTAATATGTGCAGCATATTTTCATATATCATATTCTATCAAATAATTTATTGAAAAAAAAAACTTGTTTAGTCTATAAAAATGAGAATGAAAAGAAGAAAATGATTTTGCTAAGTATATTTAACACTCTCATAACCATATTTATCATATTGTTCTCTTTTGTATTTGTCCGATAGAATAGCATATGTTTGATTTACTTTTTTAAATAAATCTTCAGCTTTATTATCACTTGGATTTCGATCTGAATGAAGATCTTTTGGTTTAATTAAATAAGCACATTTTATTTCTTTATCTGGTGCTGTTCGACTAACTGATAATAAATTATATAAATCCATTGAAACTTGTTCTTGTTCTTCTCTTGTTCGTGATTTCGATTCTTTTGTACTAAGTACAAAAATCATATGATACCATCAGTTGATTCTCTTATATTAATTTTAAAATAAACCGTTTTTGTTATTTTCTAAAAGATTGATATTGTTTTTGAAAAAAATCTATAAAATCATAAGTAAATTGTTTTGCATTCGAATGATAATTTTGCCATTGTTGTTGATTAATTCTTTGTCGATAATATTTAGGATAACTTTTTTGCAAAAAGTCCAACAATTGCTTCAACAATAATCGCAATTGGAATTGAATTAGTAAATGTAAGAAAAGAAGCAAGTGCAATACCAATCGATGGATCAATAAGTGAATCTAATGCAGCTAATGTTGTTCATGCCATTGGATAAAAACCAATGAATTTTGCTATTGTTACTTTAATCATAATGTTGTCTAGGGTGCGGGTGTCAGGCAAAAAAGATAGCAGCGCCTCCACCCACACCCAATATCTTATGATCCAATGAAATTACAAATGAAGGAGCACTAGTAGTGTCGATGCTAAAGTGTGAATTGGAGGTCAAAGTTCATGAGAAAATCGATCAAGGGTGGGTGTCGATGTGGCTGTGGGTGGGTGGGTGTGGATGAGGCTGTGGGGGTGTGGGTGTGGTTGAGGATAGAAAGAAAATTCACGACCCACATCCACCCACACATTCACAGTCACAGCCCACACCCACACCCACGCCCATGCCCACACTCACATTCACACCCACACCCACGCCCACACCCACACCACACACCTACTCCCCACACCCACGCCCACACCCCATACCCACACCCACACCCACATCCTGATGATAATGTTTCATGGGCATCAGCACCAACTTAAAAATAGTTTTATTTCGTTTGGTTCTCTGAAAAGAAAAAACATTAGAATTATTTTTTAAATTTTAACATAAACTCGTATTTTTTGTTTGATTCAATTTCATTCGTAGAGTAGTCGTGTTATAAACAAAGATTATTCGTCCATATAATTTTAGTTAATCATAATTGAATTGTAGTATATTGTTTAGTCTTTATTCTTTAAACAATAAAATAGAAGAATGAATCCTAATTTCTATATTATAGCAAATAAATCCTTAACATACAAATGATCTAGTGGAATATCATTATGAAATCGAACAAGATACATTGCTAGAACATTGTGAATGGTTGTGGATTCGATCTTAATATTTGTTTATTTTCTCTTTTGTTATGAATCGTCTTATTCATTGAGAATGTCATCATCGAATAAATCATAAATATAATTATTATATATTACAACAAATGTAAAAATGCGAAAATATGAACAGTTTTCACTCAATCGTGTATTCTATAATGAAATTGTATCTAATATACGAGCAGGTAATGATTCAGGTACTCTACATATGAGAATTTTATTTGAACTCGAAATTAAACAACTCATTATGGGTCAGCTGAATTAGAAATAACATCGAATGAGCATGGTATCAAACCATGATTGTTCAATAAAATCACCATTCGATAATTCTTTCCGTAATCTTTAGTTCCACACGTGAATAATATATCGAGATATTTATAACGAGACAAGTACAATGTTCATTTTGAGAAAGGAAACACTGCCTTTTCCTTTGCATCAGATCACTCAATATCGATTAAGCCAATTCTTACATTATGATCAAAACAATTTATATTTTCGAAAAGAGGGTGTGGGTGTGACTGAAAAGAAGATCAAGAGCCGCGCCCACAGT